CCCCCTGCACACAATATACAAGAGTACGACTTTGTTTTGAGCTACTGGGCAATTGTCTCTATATATACTACTCAAAAAAGACATAAATCAGGACAAAAATTATTTTTTAAATTAAAATACGTTATAGTAGATGTTCGAATTTTAGTATATGATTTGTTTTTTATCTACAAGTTGTTAAAATGATATCTTGGGAAAGATTTTATGTGTGTGGCCCTAGACATCACACCAAAACTCATTAAGTGGCTTTTGAGCTGAAATAATTGTCCACCCCTGCTTTAGAAGTTAATGAGATTACTCAGGGTTAAAGTTACAAATGCGAGAGGTGTTTGTAGAATTGTAAATATGGTTGTATTTACTGATTAATAAATTAGGTACATACCACATGTATACATGCTGGCTATCTGAAAATCCTACTGCCGTGTTATGTAAAACTTATTACCCCTATGATATTCACAAGCAGTTATTTTAACATTTCTTTAGATAAGTTCATTGCTTTATTTTCTTTTTGCCTTTTGAAGAGAATGTCAGAGCCTGCAGGAGCTGTCTGAATTTAGTCTGGTGGACTATATAGATTAAATTGCAGTACTCCAGAGGTGTCAAACATACAACCCACAGAGTCCCATGATGCATCCCTCAATACTGCCCTGTTGACCTACATGCTACACTGGATCAGCTTCTCTCAGTGCCAGGAACATGTGCTGCCCATGGCACTTAGTGGTGCCAGGTGCCACTGTAGCTGGGTCCTGGGCTGCATTGCCCATGATGCTCACTGGGGCTGGTTCTGGCCTGTGCCACACGTGGTGCCTGCTCAGGTTGGCAGGTGCCATGTGCGCTAGCTCAGGCATGTAGGTGGGGAATTGTTGGCCTGGACCAGCCCCACGCCATTCATCCAGCCTGTGGGGCCAGGTGAGTTTGACACCACTGCGGTGCTCTTCCAGGGTTGTGTGGTTGCTACAGCAAGAAGCAACATTAGCCACAGAGTGGTTTAATTAATTGAGCTTTTCTTGTTTGGGCTGGGCGGGATGCCTGGTTGGTTGCTTGGTTTAATTTTGCAAACTGTATCTAGAAGAACTGTAAGCATGTCCCTCCAAATCTGAATAGCCTTAACTTTTATAACATCAGCAGGAGTCTCTAACGTGAGACCTAAAGAGTCAAGGGGACCTGTTTAAACCTCAGCACAAACTGGTCAGTAGCCTGCTTAGGACATAACTCTTCAGAATATGTTAGATACTGAAACACGCCAGCACATTCTTGCAATAATACCATGTATTGGTTCTCGAGACATTTCTCACCAACAGCAATACAAGAGACATCTACAGAGCATGTATGCAACACAATTTATGGAAAGTACTAAACATTAAGTGCTAAGAACTAAATTACTACATAATAAATCTAGTAGTTTTATCTGCCATATGTACAAGTTTGGCTTTTGTATGCATACAATAACTAATGTTGAAATGGTACCCACTGAAATTAAAGCTGTGGCTGAACCTTGCAGTACACCACAGTTACCACTAGATAACACTATCTTCCTATGATTATGAAAGGCTTGGTCAAGAGGCTGAGAAGAGCTTAGACATGTATGATTCTTTTCACTTGGGTGTCTACACTTGCAAATTACTTAATCACACATTTTAAGTGAATAATTCAGAGGAGACATTGTTTTGTAGAGCAGATCACGTTCTATCTGAATCCAGTCTGCAAGTGCTGTATAAACAAAAATAATCTTCATCTTGTTGCTGATTGTAAATGTGTGTTGTTTTTTTTTCCCCCAGTTACCATTCCAAACACAAAGGCAAACTGAGGCACAAAGGGTCTAGTCTCCATCCTTTCAAGTAAGTGTGAACCTGCTTTTTGATGAAGAACTGCAAGGTGGTACCAGGTTAAACTTTGGTGCAGACATGCTGGTTAAAAAAATAAGAAGCAATAATACCACATCATTCCTACATTTAAAAAAAATCTGGATCTAGAGGAGGAGCAGCTGTGAAGAGAGTGGGAGTCAGTACATTCTGCACTCTAGTCTCAGGTTTGAGAAGTCCTAGGGCTCCAGCTGAGACTTTAGGCAAGTCGAGTAATTTCTCCATCTCCATTTCCTCTTTGTAAAAGGGAGTGAGGGAACCTACATAGCTCATTTGAGTTATGGCAAGGATTGCCATTTGTTCCGAACAGGAAAGGGCTGTAATTGTATAACGTCATCTTGGCAGGGCCTTTTATGTGGAAGGCTGTTTCTTTAAAACAGGAAGCAGTTTTTCTTCTAGCTTCTGAAGAAAGCCAGTCATTTTATGAGCAAATCCAAGCCTTCATTTTGTCAGCACACCAGTTTCCCTGGGCAGATTATCCCAACTGTCCTTGTCTGTGCCACAGGAAAGCCCTGCAGGAGAAGGACAGGCTGTGGCTGCTGAGAGAGCAGAGGCGAAAGAAGAAGCTGCGCAAACTGCTGAAAAGGATCAAGAACAACGACACGTGCAGCATGCCTGGCCTGACCTGCTTCACCCATGACAATCAGCATTGGCAGACGGCTCCCTTGTGGACATGTAAGGACCACATCAACTGCACCGCGACCAGGAGGGCAGTGTCCTGTGCTCTTGTCCTTAGCATTAGTCCTAGAGAAGACAGTTTAATAACACGCAGTCCGCTGACGAAGGTGACAAGAGTTTCTTCATAACACACAGCAGTGTGTTTACTGTGGCTATTACCAGTACCCCAGGAGCACTTTCTGAGTTGGGGCTGTTGAAAAGGGGGTTACATTATTTGCAGTCTCTGCTTGTGATGATTAAATGTAACAGGCATTTTTCCTACAAAGACCTTTCTAGCTTAGCACTCAGGTCTGCTCTAAGACATGCAGGGAAGCCACTGGCTCTGTAATAACATTTGACCTACTAAGCTGATGAAGTGCTTACATTAGAGCGGCATGCCTAACCCTTAGGAAACTGGGCAGATGCCAGCCTGTCATCTGGGGGCTTGCTTTTCTAGGCTTTAGTGAGCTCTGGGACCATGGCGCACAAAAGAGCAGGTCTGTGGCTGCTAATGGAAGGATTTTGCTTGGTTTTGACTGCCTCGTGCATTAAGCTATACTATTGGTGAGAAGCTGAGTTGCTCAAATCAAGCCTGGCTGTTTTCAGAGGGTGACTGGTGCCACTAGTTAAATGTAGAGACTATCGGGTAATGATTTCAGTGAGGCATAACTAGGGAGACCCTCTGATTTTACCAAGTTTATGCTTATGCAAATGTGAGGAGGAGAGATTGCTGCTAAACTGACCAAAGCTCAAGGTGACTTGTGCTTTACCTGCAGTGCCATAGGCAGGCAGCCACCGTGTTAAATATGATATCTCTGCTACACTATGTAAGACTAAAGACAACACCTTCAGCTGTGATTCACCAGGGGGTGAAGGGGATGTGCACTGGAGAACATGGTGCCCTGTATGGCAAGTAACTGTTAGGGTAAATCGGAGGTGAGATAGTAGGACGGGAAGGCAAATTCATGCTACCTTTGATCTAGCAAGCCTGGGTAACTGTGGCAGTGAAGATACAGTAACATGGTCTTCAGCCTGGATTAGCAGCTGAAGTGCAGGCCCACTAGGGACATAAAAGGCTGCTAGTGCATGCTGCCATGTCTTCTCTGCTGTGGTTACCCACGCTAGCTTGATCAGTGCTAATATAGGTTAGCCTACCCTTGATGTAATTCCACTTTAATTTTTTTGTACATATACATTTAAGAATTGGGTGTGGAATAAGGTAGATGGGTTATAAGAAGGCTTAAAATCAGTCTAGAAGGGATCACAAGAGGTCGTCTGGTCCATCCCTCTGACCCAAGTCGGTTATGCCAAGGCAGACTTTTCCTGTTAGTGGGAAAAGGCAGGGATATAATATAAGCTATTTTCCCAGGATGGGGAAAATTAGAGAAACTGCTCACCCAGGGACTGGCATGGTAGGTATTATTCATCAGGCTGTGTTCATGCCCTGCAAGATAAAGTATCCATTCACTGGCAAAACACTTTAACACTGAGTTCAGTTGCCTGATAGCATCTTTGGTTCTTCTAATAATGTCTGGTGGTCAGTGATACCATAACTGCCTCTGGAGCTGACACTAGCTCTTAAAAATTATCTCCATGTACTGCAGATGTGTCCACCATTGGGCATTAGTTGTATCGAGTAGTAGAGCGGTCAGCATGGAGAGTTGGCACAGCCATCATTGAGTTATGAGTTGCTTGGAGAAGAGGTGCCCGAGTCCCTTTCCCCTGCTTCTTTCTTCTTTGAGTAGTGCACTTCTTTCATTTGGTAGCAGTGTAAGTTGAGAGCCTGGTGTGCCTCATTGCAGCAATGAGTTCTCCAGGATACAGCAGGGCACAGCAGACATCTTCCCAGAAGGACTGTCACTGAAATGTAGCCAAGGGATTTATTAAGTGAAGATGTTGTGTTAAATGGCATCCTACATGTAAAGGTGGTATATATTGTAAACATTGTAAACAGGGCAAAGCAATTGCATACTTTGCAGGTGTACTGGTGTTTCTGTTGAGTACGTAAAGTATTCTAGAGCAGATGTTGGTACAGCTCACTGAGACTCAAGCTTGCCATAAGCAAAGAGAAGCCAATGACTTCCGTCTTGCAGTAGTCATGTGGCAGAGTCTGCACAGGGCACTCTGCTCCAATAAGCTTGTAACAGTCATTGTTCAGAGGGCAGAGCTAAGGTCATATTAGCACGTGCTATAATTCTGTATTTCCTGCCTTTCAATTCTGGATGGACATAAGGTATTATTAGGTGGCCTCAATGCTGTGCCACCCTGCTTCAGGAAGATCTCCTGAGCTATGTCCTTGGCCAGCTCAGTCCACTGACCTCCAGTTCTACCCTGGATACTCAGTAGCTTGCCTGGAGGACTTCCATGGTGCTCTTAGATCTCCCTGCTGACGATTCCTTGCGAGTCCACCGCGGGGCTAGGACTCCTCCCCCTCACCCCTACCCCTCTTTCCCAATTTCCTGACCTGTGCACGTGTCAATAATCTGGGCCCTTTCTGAATTACTTGTGGTAATTTGGACTATATTCCTCTGACTGTGGCAGATAACATGCCCCTTGATCATTCTCAGATTAGTGCTATAGAATTTAAACTGATAACACTTGGGTGTCGCTCTGGTTTGACAGACAGTCTATTCCTTTGAGTCATCCAGGTCCTGTAAAGCCAAGGTCTCTGGAAAGTCTCCTTCTGCACTGGAGTCATTTTGGTTTGTGCAAAATGAGAGTGTCTACCTCTTCCTTTAATCACATTCAATGTTTCTTCTCCAAAGTGGCATCAGTGGCCAGACGCAATTAAATGTTGTGCAACTGAGCAGGTGGGGGACAGTCAGAGGCATGGTTTGAGTTCTGTGTGCACCAATCTTAGTAGAATCCATGGTCTTTACACTGTTTTTAGCAGGCAACTTGAGGCCTATTTTAGGGAAGCCCTTCAAATTCAAACTTGGATTACTAACCTCAACCAAAGAAGTGCAGCAAATTCCAAGGAAGTCCAAGTAAGCCACTGTTAAAAGTATCTAATGGTCCTTCATGAGCAACTATATAGTACTTTTACTGAAGTTCTAGCAAGATAGTGCAACTGGCTATTGCTAGGCCTATAATTCATTGTTATGTCTTTAAGTATCTTAAACCTTTCATTTGCAGTGGGTCCTTTCTGTGCCTGTACCAGTGCCAACAACAACACATACTGGTGTATGAGGACAATCAATGAGACGCACAACTTCCTGTTTTGTGAATTTGCTACTGGTTTCCTGGAGTATTTTGATCTCAACACTGACCCATATCAGGTATGTTAGGGAACAGAACTGGAAACACCAAAAACATGCCCATTATTTTCTTCTGCATGAGGAAATTATCTTATGTTTCAATGCTAAATAAATTGCCAATATACATTGAAAGAGGACACCTGGTATAAACTAACATGATGATGGAATATATTGACCTCATTAAGAGCTACTAACTTGCAGAAAAGCAGGCAGTCTGTGGATGATGGCTCTGTCACTTGATCCCTGGCCATAGCTCACCTATAGGAATTAATGGTTTGATCTTATTACAGGGGCCTTCATTCCACATTGATGCAAACCTCTACGCTACATTAGTCTAACCATAACTCACACCCAGGCACTTTACCCTGGGTCAGAGCATCTCTTCGCTATTTAATATAGGTATGACTGCAGAGGAGATGAGCAAATTCCATGTGAATTATGTCAATGTAAAGTACAACTTGGACTGATACAGCATATCTACCCTATGGTTGCTAATGTAGCTAAATTTGATGCAAAAAAATCCAACAGGTTACATTTGTGGCCTAGTTCATAGATGTACACAGATTTCTCCGATCTTGCTTCCTTTAATAATGATGTTCCTCAGATCTCCTAAACCAGGGGTGGCCAACCTATAGCACATAAGGTACAAGTGGCACAGGCAGCCTGTGTGGTACATGGCAGAAAGGACAAGAAGCAAAAACTAGAGCAACACAGCAGGCAGGGGAAGGGGATCAAAGTGCCACTTGCAGAAGATGTGGGATTTAACTTGTGGCACACCTGCAAAAAAGGTTGGCTCCCACTGTCCTAACAATTAATCTTTTATTCATTCCCAGCTGATTAATGCAGTGAACACACTAGATAGAGATGTTCTTAACCAACTGCATATCCAACTCATGGAGCTAAGAAGCTGCAGAGGGTATAAACAGTGCAACCCAAGAACTAGGAATATGGACCTGGGTAAGGACCCCTTCTACTTAAACTCAAAATCCCAAAGGGAAAGCGGTTTCTAATTTACTAATGTAAATCTTACAAAAAGTGTAATGGATTTTTGATAAGTACAAGTAGCTCAAAAATAGTGTCTTGTTATTTGAGAACTGTTCAAAGTTCACAAGCAAATGTATCACCACGCAAAATTTCTACTTGTCCATTTGAAGAATCGCCCATTTCTCAATATTGTACAAAAATGTAAGTCTACTACTTTGCTGCTTAGAACGCTAGGAAAGTAGAGGTGGGAGGGGAGTTTGGGGAGAAGAAACTGAACAAACAGCAGAAGAGTACAACTTGGAGAAGTTGAAAATGCAGTTATGCTTTGAACTGCTAAAACCTCCTTTGTAGAGTTCTTTTTTGCTGGTTTAAAATAATCAGTGCGACTATCACAATCTCTGGCCCTCTTCCACTCTGACTGCTGATCCTGGGGGAGCAGGCTGGCTTTTACTCCCCAGAATCCTCTGCTGGAAAAAATCCCAGTCTAAATTAGCACCTTGACCAGATCTTACTGTTTAGTTGGAGAAGAGCGCCCTGCCAGCAATTCCAGTGTTTGTTCTGCCCAAAAGTTACGTAAAAGAAATGAAATACAAGGTCTGTCATTTCTGTGGAAATGAAATGCCTGCAAATAATTGTCAATTGCTCTGAAAAATCACTGTGGCCACTGATGAGTAAGGTGTATTGCACAAGAAAGATCATACAAGAAAAAATAAATATTGAGTTTGGAGACAGGAATTTATGTAAGAGAATTAAAAACAGAAAAACCTTGTGCTTTTCTTTAATCAACTTTAGAGATTTCATTAAGTGTTATCCTCAGGCAGCAAGCCTGTCACCTGTTGTCAGATCATACCAGCTTGCAAGAAACAATTTTTCCAACTTTTTAGTTGGTCTAATAAAGTTCTCTGGGTAGATGTGTTACCTTTTAATCAGGAAAATTTCTATAAACCTGTAATCAGATTTCCCTTAACCATTCTGTAATTCAAGAGAGACAGAATAGCCAGAAAGGCCCAGGGGGAGGGACTTGGGGTGGCTTGATTGTAGACGGCCCTTTGTGCCACTACCCCTCAAAGCTGATTGGTGGAGAGGCCCCAGCAGGTAGAGGAAGGACTAGGGGGCAGCTGCCATCTTGTCTGTTGTCCTTCATGCTACCTGGCACCTTCCCCTTCTGGCTCCTACTGGGGAGCCAGCATTTAATTTATTTTGTTGATTTTGTGGCTTTCACAAAATCTGCAAATTAAGTAGGTCCCTAATGATAAGTAAAATACTCCAAATTACTTATTGCATATGGGGGCAGCCTTGATAGTAAGCCTTAATTGCTTTATTCCCCATTAACTAGAAAATCTTTAATTAAAATAAATAATTGTACCCTTTTCCTGAGGTTGTACCTTTGGTACCATATATAGAGCTGGTCACACATTTTCCAGTGGAACATTCTTCTGGTGGAAAACACCGATTAGTCATTAACTAACTCTTCTTGGGACCATCCTAATTTCCATAAAACCAGCATTGAGGCTTTTTGGGAAACATTCCACATGTATCCAAAATTAAATACAGTAGAAATATTCCCCGGTTTTAAAATAATGGTTAGAAATATTTAGAAAATAGTCCCTGGTGTGTAGAATTAAAATTACTTTTTGTAAATTAAATGCAATATTTAGGTGATGATGCAGAAATCTAGATCCTTATTGAAATGGAGTAAGGTGCTGTTTGTGACTAATGATGGCATACGATAGTATTTGTAGTACATAATTCCAGCTAGTTTGTGTTACTACATTGCTCAAAGTGGCTTGTGAATTACTAGATAAAAAATTGACAGCTAAGATTTGACTTTTTTCACTGTGCCTTACTAGATTCCTTATTCTTTTACTGCCACCAGTTGGTAACATTATTATTTTTTCCTTATTTAGGGCTTAAAGATGGAAGCTACGAGCAGTACAGGTACATTTAAAAAACATAGTTGAAGGTGGGATTTCAGTAATCATTCAGACCAAGCAATGTGAAGCCTGGGGGTGGCAGCAAAGAGGCTAAAACAACCCCTGTCAGGAACACCTTTGAATCTGAAAGCTCTTCATCCATGTTAATAATTTCCTTGCATGTTCCTACTTGACTGCTAGAAAATTCTTTTCCTTGTAATCAAAATTCAAGCTAAAATATTTTTCTTTCCTTCTGTTGGATTTTAGTATAAGTGGTTTTCTTGGTGATGGTTAACTGTTTTTTCTCATTTTGCTGTTTGAAAATTTAGGCAGTTTCAGCGTCGAAAGTGGCCAGAAATGAAAAGACCATCATCTTCCAAGTCACTGTGAGTTGGAAGTCTCTTCATGACATCAGCTTGACGTTACTTTTTTTTTTGTCTGTCTTTGCATGCAGCATTTGTTTAGTCCAAATCTGTTCTCAGTTGAGTCTAGTCTCATCTACTACGCTTTTAATTAAAAACTCCTCTTAATTATGCAAGGAAGAGGGTATTGTAGTTCTATCAATTACAGTTGATCTTGTATTCAACCAGGGCAGAGTCTAACATTGCTGCAGCTGAGAAAGTTAAAAATGCAAACTGGCTCCATTTCTTATTCATTTTCTTTGTTTGAAATGAAGGCGTAAAACTCTCTCTGATATTAGGAGCATAACAGCGCCCTTGAAAGGAGATAGGAAACTCAAAGTTGCACTGAATTAGTTGCTATGGGACCTGCTCAGCACATTATTTAAGGTGCAGGTTTCAATCTTTATTTTAAGTCAAACTGAAAAGCTGGTGCAGAATACAGCTGTAAAATGGTCCCCAAGAGAAATGTCATTAACAAGGAGCTAACACTGACGTTTCTAAACAGCTTCAATTTGTCACTCCAACTAGTAGTAAAGCACACTGGAATATTTCTGGTCTTGAAGTGACACACGTTTAATTTGGCGTTAGAAGTGCTCCATTTCAGAGAAAAGAATGCAACCTTAAGGCCAAATATAGGTGAAAGACATTCCTTCCTTACAGTTGCCTCATAGGCATTAGGAGCGCAGACCATTTGAAACCTGAGCAACCAAAGATGGACTTAAAGCATTTAAAACCTGTTAGAAGTATTCCTTATTCACTGTACTATTGTCATACTTCTCAACCTGTCAGAGCCTAGACATGGGACAAAGAGCCTAAGAAATCATTCACTCAGGAACCTAAACACTATAGGGCTCCTTTGTGGACATGGACAGCTATTCAGCTTCTATGACTTAATTCCCCATCTTTTAAAAAATGGGCATAGCAGCACACTTTTTTTATCCCTTTAGGAGAATGTTGAAGATAATTTAATAATTATGAGGCTCTAATTGTAAGGTGTTAGGGGGCTATTCAAGTACCTTAAATTGGGGTAGTTTCTTTTAGTGTAAAGTGCTCTACCCTTAATTTCATGATTTTTTTTTTATTACTGATGCAAATAACTTCCAACAACCTAAGTGGGGGGTGGGGAGAAAAATTAGGTTTGGAATTAAAATAAGTTAACAAAGTATATATGGGACCTCTACTAAAAATGTCTCCTTAAAAAGCCATTTAGCTAAAGCAATTGAGTTAAGGCAAAGTATAATACTGCAGCTCTCAATCACAATTAACACATGCAATTTTAACCCATTAATAATTGTTCTTGTTAATTTTATTAGCGTGTTAAATTGCACAGATGGTTTTGGAGCCTGTGCCCAGGCTCAGCTCCTCCACCATCACTGCTGCCTCTGGGCTACGCTGCAGGGCAATAGTGGCAGTGCAGAAGACCCGGGGCCACCCGGGCACAGGCTCCAGCAGGGGAGGGGCTCACACAGGCACAGACATGCAGCTGCAGCCTACAGGCAGCCAGGAACACAGCCTGGCAGTGTGGGGAACAGCACCCAGCAGGCAAGTCTGTGAAAGAGGAGGGGCACAGGAAAGGGAAGGGGCATGAGCGGGAGCAGATAGAGCCCCCCACAGTGAGGGAGGGAGCAGGGCAGAAGCAGGGTCTGCCCCCCTCCACAGATGTACCTACGGCGGGGGGGGCGTGTGGGTGTGTCACTCCCAAGCCCCAGCCCAACCAACCCTGCTGCTGCCCCTCACTCCTGACCCACAGTACCCCACATCCTGCCAGGCCATGCTGGAACTGTCGTCCTCCTCCCCCTTCCCCAGCTACAAACCCCACACACTCCCCCACATCCCCCCCACCATACAAAGTACCTGCATAATTTTGCTTTTAGCTGTGCTATTTAACTTGCGATTAATTGCTACTAATTTTTTTAATCACACAACTAATAACGATCAAATTGAATAGTTTGACAGCCCTATATCATACAGATTATATATTCTTTTTAGGCCTCACTTTAAGAAGCTGATACTTTGAGCAAATTCACTTTGTGACAAAACATGGTGATTTTTTTTTTTTTTATAGGTATATAGGTAGTCCACAATTACATATCAACTGTTTCTTTCTTGCATGGCACTAGTGAAAAGCAATTTACATTTTCAATTACCTTACACTAACCATGTGTTTATTTTATTTTAAAGAGGACAACTGTGGGAAGGATGGGAGGGCTAACCTCCTGCAACTGTTGGACCTCAGTGAGGATATAAAACTGGCCAGAACTTGAATCCTTGTACAGACTAAATGAAAATGTGTATGATTTCAGAAGGAATTTTAACATTAGCCTGGAAGACTGGATGAACTTTAGGGCTGAGGTAGCTAGAATGTTTGCACTGTTGAGTGATTTAAAAAGATGCAGTGATTTTTGGGGAACTACTTTCAGGAATACAGACAACTTTTTGAAAGCCACTGTTGCACCTGCTTTTACTTTGGATTATAACCTCACCTGCTTCACAAAACATTTTACTTCAAGAAAACACCACTAAGGCTGTTCAAGGAATTGATGGAAGAAATAATGAGGCTGTGCTCCCGAGAGGACTGACATCCCAAAGGGCAACTCACACACACAGTAATTTCAGTGGAAGCAAATTAAAAACCTCTCTCTCTCCAGCTACATCTTCAAAAATCATTTGAAAAAACTATAACTGAAAAGCAAGATTTAAAAAATGGACACCTGCTTTCAAGGCAAAGCAAGTACAAAAGATGGCAGTGGACAAGAACGATTTAGCAATTCAGGAATTCAGATGAGTAGCATTAAACGGTTCTCAACACCACGATACTCCTCAAGTTCTCTTTCAAGAATATAATTTTAGCTCACTGTCCATGCATCCGTCCTATTGCAACCTGAAGCAAAATCTCAACTAATAAGCCAGATTTCCTGAGGGGTTCTGTAAATACTTATTAATGTCCTGTTCAAAAGAAATTCCTTCAAGTTGTGAAGAATTTTGTTAATAAAAAGTGTGGAATGCCCAAATATAATTTCTCAAAATGTTACCTTGTTTACTTGTTAATATTGCATAAGACACTTCAGAATTTATCCATTTTTAAAAGCACTGCCAAAATGCAGTTAATGTATGTCTTGAATTTTAATGAAATCAGATTTGTATGAAGTCTTTTTATGTGGAAGATTATATTGTATGTTCAAAACCAAAAGAGTTTCTTTGAGAGAGCACATGTTTGCTTAGTAGTATAACTTTTACATTTGTAAAAAAAGAAAACAGTTATTCTCTCTTGTGGCCAATAAAAAAACCCAACAAAACTAGTTATAGCTCAGTGTATAGAAAATAAGAACTTCTGAATGACTTAAATGTTTATAATCTATTTCAAATATTAGGCAAGAGTTGCCACTGTCATTTGATTAAATGTATAAAGAGCATATTTGAGTATTTTCATAAAAAAATAATACCAGTTGGTAGAATGAGTTCCTTAGAAGCATGGAAGAGGTTAGTTTTGCTGATTTGCTACAGGCTAGCATGCTTTAAAAATCACATGGTGCTCAAATAACAAATGCTGCTTGTTGAATTTAGAAAGTCAAGTTGTAGACTAGGCCTGTGCAAAGCGGCAAGTATTCGGATTTGGCTGATTCGGATCTGAAGATGCAGTGCCGATTTTGAGATTCGATACTGATTCAGAGATTCGGCCATAGGCTAAACAGGCAGCAGTCCTCAAGGATACTGAACATAGCTGCTTCCAGCTGGTAAGTCAGTCATGGTGGGCAGATCAACACCCCCACAGGGAGGGATTGGAGCTGGGATAAGTTGCCCAGCTGGGGCAGGGGGGCGGTGTGGGACTCTGCCACACTGTGTGCCACTGCATGGCCCCGGTCCAGGAGGGCATGGGAGGTGTGTGCCCCTGGATCTGCATGGGGTGGGCTGGACCGGGCTGCACTCCAGGCAGCTAGCTCCAGCCGCCTGCTGCCGCAGCAGCAGAATGGGTGGAGCCAAGGCTGTGCTCTGGGTGGTTAACCCCACCTGCAGCCCAGGCTTTGCCTGCTTTGCAGAGCAAGGTATATGGGGGGCTGCAGCCACCCTAAAATTCCCCATAGCCCCTGCTACCAGATCTGCTCCGATCTGGGTGCACATGCCCACCCTCATGCCCTGCTGCTGCTCACCCAGCAGGGGCAAAGCTGCGGCTTGTCCAGGAGATACAGGAAGACTGGGCGAGCATTGAGGGCATAGCCCCCGCTCCCAGCACCTTCTACCACCCATCCAGAGTGCAGCCCAGCCCAGCAGATCCAGGGGCACACGCCTACTCCCATGCCCTCAGACTGGCAGCAGGCAGTGGCAGGAGCCCCCCTCCTCAAGTCCTGCACCACCCCCGCCCCAGCTGGGCAGCCCCAGTCCCTCCCTTGATGTGGGGGTGTTGATATGCTGCTCCCCCATTCCCCTTCCCTCCGCACTCTCCCACAACAGACTTACCAGCTAGAAGCAGCTGTGTCTAGTGTCCTCGGAGTGCTGCCTGTTTAGTCTATGGTTGAATCTCCGAATCTGTGCCAAGTTTTTCCCCAAACCGATTCGGAGGCTTTCAGTTAGATTTTGGAGCTCTTAATGGGTCTCCCAATTCAATTCAGAGATTCAGATGCCGAATTGGGACAAATCTCCTCTGAAAAGAATCTAGTACTGAAGCTTTGCACAGCCCTATTGTAGACTTTCAGAAGGAAAAGCGTGTCAAGAGATGTCTTTAGCAATTATTTTGAGAGCTGTGCTTATACTGCAGGAAGTGAAGATTTAAAATGGAAGACTCTACCAACTGTGGCCTTGACTACAAAACAGCAAGTGACAGATTTTTCCAAAACATTTGTGGATCTGGATCTGCAAACATGCAAAATTAGCAAACTTTTTATCACCACCCTTTTCACTTTTGTACTTTAAAACATTTCAAGAAAAACAGCAAGCTGGGGGGACAGACCTTTAGCACCATTCTCTCCCCCTCCTTCCAATAGTCTTGAATGTGGAATCAAAGAAAACTAATCTTAAAAGTGGCACCGTGATCTTTTGCTGTAGGTTTCAAGTAAAACTAGGAAAAATAACTTGGTTTTGAACTAGTGTTTGGGTGCATCTACATGTGACGCTTTAATGCGCACTAGCCTAAATTAATGCACATTAAGGGTGCACGTCTACATGTGCATGCCCTTAATGCACATTAAAAATGGAGAAATGTAGGCACAAGTAGTTAAAACGCATTAATGCTGTGTTTATGGAGTGACTTGGAACTAACTTTAGTCTTAAGTCAGTCCACACACAGCATTAATGCACTTTAACATCTGCATGTGTAGACACCTGTCTAAACCCACTTAATACGCATTAAGCTAATACACATGAAACTTAGGCATGCTTAAATGCATGTGTAGACGCATCCATTCATATGAAATCAGATTTAATGTACCATCCCGAACTGTCCTGTAAAGTTCTACATTTCAGACACAATCTGACAGTGGGTTGGAAATGCAATCCCACTCATTGTTACAACTTTAGTGGGCTCAATAGGAAAAAAATATCTGGCAGCAGAAATGTATGTTTTTGTGCTTTCCACCTCTGAAAAGATTTATATAAGAATCCTTAAGAACTAGGTGTACATAAAAATATTTGTACGTACTTTTTTTCTTCCTTCTGCCTGCAGGCTTTGGAGGGTTGGGAAAGGCAGAATCCTGCCAAGCCATACTTACAAATGCTGCTCCATATCAGATAGAATTCTCCAAATATTACTACAGCAACTCCTACTCTCAACATACATCCAAAACATTCAGCTGTTACCATGTGAATCCTTATGAGGTCTGAATGTACAATTTAATGAAGAAGGCAAAATATATTTTTTAAGAACTGTACTAAGGTTAGCTACAGACTATGCTTTCCTCTTTTGTCCTGTTCCACAAAATATTCATTATGCCAAGACACTCCTGTCCCAAAAGATAAGTTACATCTAAGCAAAGCATATTCCCTTCTCTCTCCTTCCTTTGAGGGGACCAGTCTGCATAAAAGCACTACCTTCAAAAGCTTGCTAGGCCATTATACATTATATTCATTGTATAAGCAACTTCCCATTTGCTGGAACTTCACACCCTGGCTAATCCTCTCAAGTCACTGTTGATACTACTTTAGGTTTTGTGCTGTCTCAGGAAACCAAAAATTCAGTGCCGAGGTCCATCTTCTCACCAGTATGATATTACTGTATTTTCTTTCAGGACTGGATATAATTTTGTTTGGAGGAGAACTGCTATGTTGCTAGTCTTTATAGAATATAAATAGCATCCATCCATGAACATCCATAAGGTATTAAACAGCTAAATGTAGTAAGTCACCAATTTCTGGTTTTAAATAGAAACCTTTATTTACATTATTATTAACATTGAAACACAAATATCAGAAGAGCAGTAATACCTTACAACCAACCCTTTTATAAAATCAGCCCACCTGTTTTTTGCAATGTAGAGATGCAGATAATTTCTAGCAATACTTAATGTAAACTAAATTTAAATGCAATTCTCAATACTGTATGCCTTTGCCTGAGAATTTTTAAAAAAAAAATATTGCTCTCAGAATTACATGATTTCATAAATGCTGTATCATTCTGACAATCTGCATTTAAATCCAAAATAAAAATGTGCGCGCTAATTGGTAAAACATTCAAATAGTTTTTTCTTATAACTGAACAAATGCTCTTGATTTTTTTTTATTTTAAAAACCACAAAATTAGACTAAGACTGGATAAAAGCAATTAAGTTTATGAATTTTATAAAACATCGTTGATATAATCAAAAGGAAAAAACTGATAGGCATGTAGCAAGACTTTATGCTATGCAGCGTGAGCAGGAGATGGTTGTAGTATCAAACTGGTCTCTTATTGTTGAAAATAAGTTATACAGCTTTTCTTTAAACGTTCAGAAAACTATGCTGTAGAAGAAAACAGCTGGAGACACCAAACTCAAACATATTGTATGGATCATTTTGTTTATGGCTGTAAATACACTTTTCAATCTAGATGTCTTATTTAGAATCAGTGTTGCTATGAAAGGTCTCAATAATGCTAATTCAAAAAGTTTAAAAAGGCTTTATTTTTATCAAGTTTGAACTAAAACAAAATCTTTGGATTCAGCAAAAAGTAGATATTGGAAAAATTCAACATTCTAAAAGTGGATGAGGAAACGAGGATCCTTTGCAACATCCGTCAGGTACCACGTTTTAGAAGTATAAATAGAATCACTCAAAAAAAAGTTAAAAGGGGCACAATGTATACAGTATCACATATCTTAAAGATCTTACCTAGTCAAAGCACTCAGGGTTTGCAGTTTCCATCAATATAATGAACAATGACAAAATGTAAAAATTGTTCTATTCTGACTTAATTAAAAAAGCAAAAGAATAATTGCCTTTCAACTCCAGTGGGTTGCACTGACTCCACCAGTAAGCAAAAAACAAATAAAAAAGAGGATGGAGGGAAGGATGGCACGGAGGGAACAATTCCTAAGGCCTTTAAATATCATGCGTTACAACACAGGTGACCCAGACTAAGGGCTTGAAACAACTTAAATTTTCTCCAAATGTATATTCTCAGTGCCAGTTGCAGAGACTGGATTCCATAAGGAGTAGATTCTTATGTTCTACACGACCTGTGGAAGCTACAGGACTGTAGCTACATCTTCGGGATGAAAGTTAGCTGAATTTTTGCACTGAAAATTATTTCCATTAAAATGGAAGATCATGGAAGTTCATTCAAGTTTCTGTAAAACAAAACATGACTTCACCTTACAGTACCAAGAAGAAATAATCAAAAACACTGATTTTCATTCACTCAGGAGAAGTTCGGGTTTTTTCCTTTACACAGTGAACAGTAGAACATAAAGCACCATGTCTTAATTTCTGGTTCACCTCCTTAAGGAAGTTACCAGGTTGAATCATTGTTGTATCTGTTTAAACTGGAAAAACTGCAGTAGGACCTTTGCTTTTATAGAATCAAAAAAAAAAAACAAACCACAACAAAAAACCTGTCAACAAATCAGATGAAGAGATTTGTAACCAAACACTTGTGAATACTGATATTTGTTTATAAAATACATTCGTTACTAATAGAAAAAGAATCAATGAGGTGCAGACATTATTTAAAAATGTGGCTTAATATCTTTCTCAAAGGTTTTCTGGATGTCATGTAACAACTAAAACATATTTTTGCCATAAAATGTGATGGTGGAAAAATAATAACAACATTCTTCACAACAGACCAATTTCTTTAGAAGAACATTTAGGGTTCCAATTAACAAAACATCCTACAGTACAGATTTATTAACTAAAAAGGCAACATTACACACATGTATGCACACACACATGCGCACACACAAACTGTTGCGACAAGTCATGACAATTTAAAATCCAGAGAGTTTTGTCCAATCGCCCTATATAAAAAAAGAAATGTAACAAAGTGCTCACTTAAAAGTGAAGAAAGCATTAACCAACTGCTTAACCCTAAGCAAAGGATCTTTTTAAAAAGCTATATGTTAAGGATGTAAAATAAATGAAGCATCAAGGACCAAAGGAGGAAAATATTTGAGCTAGTTACCCACTCCAGGTCATTAAATTAAAAAAAAGTTAAAAGGTCTTCTATTTGGACCTCAACTAAGCTGAGTTTACAGAAATCAACTTTGTTAAATATTTAGCTTCACAAACTCTGCAAAAATGAGTTAGTGACCTACAAAAGTCATACATATAATACAATATCTTAAAGATCATATTTACAAAATTTATTCACAAAAAAGACTGCAAAATTCTGATTTAGACTGCAGTGCCTTGCCTTGAGTTTTCTGAAGTTCATTTTTAAAAAGATGAAAGATTATTGCTCTAATTTCCATAAACAGAAAACATTAATTTTGCAGTCTTTTCAATTAACAATTCTTAAAAGATTGTGTTTAAGAACAAGAGTACACCCTAACCTCGTATTTATTAAATCCTTATCAAAGATATTGCATTAATCCATTACATAGCCTTTTATAAAGTGCACTCAACTGCACATCAATATGTAAATATTAGTCGCAATTGTGTTTAAATAATTTTAATTTATTTTCTGTAACCCCTTGTCATCAACAGGAAAGATTTTGGAACAGTATGGGCCAATTCATTTTGTATTGCCACTTTGCTTGGGGAAATCCTGACTCCTGGGGGTAAGAGGTTAAAAGCAGCATTTATATTCAGGAATTAATACAAGAGTCAAGGCTAGGAACTACATTCTCTGTCAGATATTCTTACTAGAGAAATCAGAATTCTTATGCACCATGACCTTCTCCAGGCACTTTGGTCTGCCTGTAGTTAAAGGGCTTTGGATAGCTACAGTAAATAGAAGTGGTATATAAGGAGTCTACCCCATCATATTTACTAAAATGCCATTTCCAAATTCACATTTCTAGAGGCAGAGTGCCAAAAATATTTATTTATGACCATTGTTTTATACACCACCATATACAGTAATACAGAGACTCTGCTACTACTAAAAAAAGGTTTTTGCGTGAAGTCACTTCGGACATCTTGGTGATCAGCTGAAAAAAAAATCAGTTATTTCCATAAGGCCAGTACTAGTTGCCATGAGGAATACGTTGCTTTTCTTTATAATACTAGTGCATTGTTAATGTCGCGCATTCTCATTCGGAGATTGTGGTTTTAGATGTCAACAGTATTTCTGTGAGAAAAAAACAGAATAAATATCAGGAAAACAGTTGCTGAAAACTCCACACGCAATGCATTCTGAACCCGAAAGAATTCAAGGCAGTATCCTTCGCTGGGTTCTTAGAAATATCAGCACTTCTACTGGACAGAGCTTTCATCTTCAAAATGCTTTACAAGCATGACTAGCTAAACTCTGATAAGACATTTTTACATAATCAAATATTGAATTCTGCACTCTTGAAAATTAATTCCAGTAAGAAATTTGTCAATTTTGTTCAGTGGTATCTTCACTCCTATACTGATGCTTTATAGCTATGTAGAATTAGAACTGCAGCCACACAGGGCTGGAAGAGACCTCAACAGGTTATTGGGCCTATCCCCAAGTCGAGGCAGGGACGTAACCTATCCCTGACAGATGTGCCTGTAAACTGTTCTGAACAGCCTCCAGTAACTGGGATTCAACAGTAACCTGTGCCAATACTTTTCTATCCTTACAGTTTTTCTTCTTTTACCATTTCATCAAAAATACCTCTTGCTGTAAATTAGGCTCATTTATTTTTATTCCATCCTTGCTGGACATGGAGAACAATTAATTGCTAATCGCCTTATAATAACTTTTTAGATGCAATTACTCTTCTCTATCCCAACCTAAGTCTAACTCTTTCTTCATGGGCCAGGTTTTGAAAACTGCTTATTTTTGTTGTTCTCTTGGCTCTCCACAATTTGTCTGTGTCTTCCTTAAAGCATGGTACCCACAACTAAACGCTGTACTCCAGCCGAGACCTCACCAATGAGGAATACAGTGGAATAGCTACCTCCTGCATCTTGTGTATTAACGGAAGTGTCTTACATCCCAGAAAGTCATTCCATTTTCCACATACATCGTACTGCTGACTTAATTCAGTGTATGCTTCCCTGCAATCCTCAGGTCCTTTACAGCAGTAACACTGCCCTCCCAGACAGCTTTTGTTTTTTATTTGTGGATTGATTTCTCCATCTTAATTTCTATATATTGCAGCTGTCTACTGAATTTCAGACCATCTAATTTTTTTAGATCACTTTGAAGTCTAATCCTCTCCTTCAAAATACCTGCAGTCCCTCCCAGCTGTGCATCATCCACAAATTTGACAAGAGTACACATTATTCTGTCATCCAAGCGGTTACTGAAAAAACAGAATGGTACTAGATCCAGCACAAGCTCTTTTGGCACCACATTCAATATAACTGCTATTTTTCAACCAGTTGTGCTCAAACCTAATAGTAATTTAACATAAGACACATTTCTCTAGCTTGGTTGTGAAAAAATGTCATGCATGACTGTCAAACACCTCATTAATATCACTTCAACTATCGTCCCACACAACCACTAAGCCAATTACCACATTAAAGAAGGGACTTAGATCGGTTTACATAGACAAGTCCACGCCATTCATCATCACCACCTTAATACCTTTAAAGTGCATACAAACACCAGTATATTTCCAAGTATTATGGTTAGGCTGACTGGTCTTCAGTCCCCCAAGTCTCGCTTTTTACCCTCTTTTTAAAGGAAAGAGAAACGAATGTTTGCTTTCCTACCATCTTCTTGTTAATATTAAATTATGCCAAGCTGGTCATGATTAAGCTTTTTTGTGAAAGGTGGAGCAGCCTCCTTTTTATCATCCAGTAGTTGTTCACCTTTTCCATGGAGGTAATAGACATAAATTTTCCTTTGCCACCCCCCTCCCCGCTTTTCTCATTGCCTTTTATGTCCTTTGATACCTGACAAAAATCTCAACAGGTATGACTGCTGCTTTCAGTTTTTTAGCCTCTAGCACTTCTCCAGCTTTAGCTGCATGGAAGCACTCTGTGTGCATCTTGAGCCATACTCACGCTACTATTTGAAAGACAGCAATTAATCCACAACATACTGCCCAGCTTCAGCATCGTTTTAGTGTAATATCAGCAAAGACAGAGAACCTACTGAGGCAAAATACAACTAGATACATAAACTGCTTGGGGGCCACGGAGATTAGAACAAGTGTATGCAAGGAAGGAGATACTACATTACATTAACTGGGAAAGGAGGAAATAGAAAATATAAAAGAATCTTAGAACCGTTTAGACTTTTGGAAGTTGACCAGGCCTCTGACTCTCTACAGTTCTATCACCAGGGTGAATCACTGCAATCCTTTTACCTGGTCTGGACCCATAGGCATCCCTGACATAGGCATGGTATTAAGGTTCATTTGTCCAATATGGCCACCGGTACCATTCATGTGCATCATATTGTAAGTTGCAGGGGTCCCCTGATGGCTAAACTGCTGCTGTGAAAAAGAACTGGAACATAGAAAAAACAATTAAAATTCCATTAGTATTTTATTGCACAACCTTTTACAAGGGACTGGTATAGTATAGAGACAAAAAAGGAGTGAACAAATCCTCCTGCACTTGCAATGGCAAAACTACCGACTTTAATGGAGTTATAATTTCATCCCCGTTTCTCTGAAAGACGAGTGCTTCTAACAATGAGGGCCCTATGAAACATCTTAAATTATGCTCACCTGCTCCTGGCCATGGTTCCTGATGGCCAGCCCTTCATTTCAGGGGATTGGTACATTGGTGCTGTTTGAGGGTGCTGCATCATGGGATTTTGAGAGGGTCCAATTCTTGATGACATCATTGGGTTGGGAGGGCTTGAAACCCTACTAAATGCAGGATCTGGTTGTTGGTTTATTCCTTGCAAAACAAAGAATAGACATGCCACTAATTATCATCTTAAGGATGTCTAAGTCTCAACTTCTTTCACTGAAGGGAGGAAAAAAAATTCAAATACAACACGCGTTTGCAAGTTAAAGGTGATAAATCCTGAAACCTCAGAGATCTAAACAAATGTTTAAGGGCAATACACTAGTCTACCTTGCCCTACCTTTTAAAATTCACCACCACACTACATTATGCTGAAATGACATTTTACTTTTGCCTAAAATATCATCTGGCAAAATGATAGGGTGGCTTAATCCCTGCCTAATGCCAGAATTTATTCCACAGCAAATAGTTGTTATGGACTATAACTTAATTTTATAGTTAATGAACTATACAAACAGCAGGAGAAAGGTAACATCTTGGAAACAAACCCTGTCTGTAGATCTCACCCAGACTACAATGTATTTATGAACAAAAAATATTTTTGGTTTTATGTAAGTTTTCATCAATGTTTGGAAGTTTTCTTCCAATAATAGAAAAGTACTAGTGTTTTCTGATAGGATCTTTTTTATATTTTCCTCACAGCTCGTGTATATAAATTAAAGTTTCCTCATTAGTATAATTTTACAGCACCATGGATATTCATGAGACAGATTCTTTTAAATAATGGGTTAACAGTAATTGTAATATACAATCTCACTGAATCATTGTATTAGACAAGTCCACAAAAATCAATATCCCAGTATGGTATTCTTTACCGAAGAGAATATTGCAGAATGCTACTCAAATTGCTGTAGTGTTTTACAGCAAAAAAATTAGAACATGGATTTAGGATTGTCTTATGTTCACAAAGACGACATCTCTATTTCAAAACTGGATTTTGAGGACAGTCACATGAGAGCGACATACAAGTACAACATAAATTCTAATATATTTCCACTGTTTTCTTTGAATGGACTGCTAAATAGCTCTATGCTAAGCCAAGTAGAAATGAACCATTCAGATGAGAAAAGTACCAAAACAAGGAAGTGGGAAAGCAGAGTAATGGACTGATGCACTAGAAAATGACACAAATTAACTAACTACATACTGAACAAACAGCAAGTTTCTTGAGAGCTCATTTTACCATGCTTTAACTTCATATTAAAACGTTTATAAGGTAGTATAGTTTTCTGGGATAAATGAATGGGGAAGTCTGAAAAATATTATGTGAAAGTTTTGGCCCAAGATGTAAATAAGCTACATTCATAAATAGTCATTCTATGTGCACATCCTTCCTCCTAAATATCCCTATACTTAGATTTTCTACTGCCTGCAGGGGTTTAGCCATCCTGCACTTTCTAACTTAAACTAAATTTACTGTCTGGAGCTAAGGAATACTAAAGCTGTGATTTAAAGACAGCAGCCAGAGTAGAAAGCACTGCATAGCAACTGTGGTCACTGGAAGATAACCAAACAAGAGTAACGTGAATGCTTCTGTTTTGAACATTTGATACTGGATTTTCACATCATAGAATTACGTCTATAAAATAGAATAGAAATATGTTTGAGAAGTAACCAAATTGCTGTTTTATCAGTAACTGACAAGTAGTCAAGAGAATAGCTGAAGTGAAAAATAAATTTAAGCTATGGATCAGTAAGTATGCAGGCTCCTGCCTTCTTAACAGAAAGAGTCCTATTTAGTATCATTTAATCATGGGATATGTTCAGGATATGCTTAATCTTCCGTCCCTTCAGTCCTTCCCTTCCCTCCACACAGACACAACCACCTGCCCCAAATCTCAATGTTATCTGGAATATTTAAGTAGATAAGATCAATAAAAATGAAAAAGGGAAAATGGGATGAGGGAGGACAAAGTAGTGAGACATTAGTATTAGTACCGTAATTAGGTGGATATGGGAATTGCTGTGGAGGAACTTGAGCCATCGGGGGACCTGCCAAAGCACTATCCATGCTTCCTGAGGCAGTCACATTTGGTGGGGGACTGAAGGCCTGAGGTTGTTGCTGTTGCTGCTGCTGTTGCATTATCATTGCCATCCTCTGCTGTCTGATATGATGACTTAATAGCTCCCTGTTGCGCTGAGCCATCATCTGAGCATTAAGAAAACCTTGCTGCTATCCCACAAATGAACAAAAACAGCACATTAGAAGATATTTTACATGTAAAATTAAATTCATGCCAACCTTCCACTAATATACAAATGATAAAGAACAAATGCATTGCAGTATCTTGCTCCTGTTCTGTTCCTACAGGTATACGACCACTGGCAGACTGCATCCATGGCACAGCCTAATAGAATACAGGTGCTCGTGTTCATAAGTTGGCAATTTCAGAATTATCACAGATATAGCAAGAATCATTTTTCAGTGCATAGGACAAAACATCCTAAGGAACTGAGTGAAGGCTTGAATTCTAAAAGGGATTTCTGGGGAACATGTTTGTAGCCTGCCAGCTTTCAAGCATTCTGTTTTTGAAGAGTGAATGTGATAATTACTTACCTGTGATCCCACTTGTGGCTGCATAACTGGCCTCATCACTGGGGCAACAGTAGCACCTGGATTCTCCATTTTCATCTCAAGTGCTTGACGAGTCTGATTCATAAACTTTGAGAAAGACAGGTTAACAATGTATTAAGCTTTGAGTATCAGGTGCTAAATTAAGTTACAGCAAACTCCTTATTGGAAAAAAAAAAAGTTTCTGAAAACCCGGTTTTTAATTTGCATCTAGAAACCACAGTGGTTAGTAGTTTTTTTTACCTTGTTAGATACATCTGAAGCACACACTTCTGATCAGGTTTAAAGATGAAGTCCACCCACACAATATATTAAGCAGTCTGGTGTTAAATGACCTTTCACAAAGTTCTGGTAACAACACTTTATGCAAAGCTTAAACAAACCAGTTGCTGATTCTTGATTCTTGTACTGTTTATCCCAAATTATCTAACTACTAGGTTTTAACTTTTTCATCTCTGTTAAAACTATTATAATCAAAGAAAGTTCATAACAGCTGCTTCATAAAACCTATAGGTTGATTTAATACTATGAGACTGCCCAAGAAGGAAGATTAGGGGTAAGAAGCACTTACTATTATATTCTTTTACATTATACTTAACTCTCCAAGCCTCAATGGTCTGAAATTCCTTATTCTTCAGAACCTGGACATCTGTCCCCCACCCTCTTACACCTATACCATGGCAATAAGAATTCCCTCAATTATTCAGTACTTTCACTATTGAAAATGTATTCATTTTCTACATAAAAAAAGGATATTTATATTTTAGTCAAAACCAAGGGACATCCTTGTGAAAGCAAAACCTTTACCAGATTCATAAAATCTCTCTCATTTCTTACAGCATGCCCATTACCGTAGCACCTACAATGGATCAGATTCATATGGAAAACAAAACAGTTTTACGAACCACTACCAGTTACTTTTATTTAATGTCTTTAATGAGATCACATTACATTTGAATTTATTTGCGAGAAAGTCTAGGATTTTTCAGCAGATTAATTTCCCGATAAGATGAAATACCATGTATTTATTAAAAGCAAAATCCAGTAACATTTACTGTGGCCCTCACTTGCAGAAGAAATCCTTGTGCCCAACAGTTTAAACAAGATTTAGAACAAAAGCAAGACATTAAACATGGATGTACTGTATATTAAGGATATATTCAACAGTATTTTTTTTTAAATAGAAAAATTTGGGAGGGGTAAGGCTCTTGTGCTTCAGGGCCTAAACCATCATTTAACTGAAGGGTTTTAGAAGAAATAGCTTCTCTATCGTTGTCTCAAATTCCTTTTCAAAACTTCTTGCACTTTCCTGTAATTGCTGCTGTCAAGATGACTTGACTAGATGGACCCCTGTTTAAGCTGGAATATCAATTTCTATGTTCATCTTCTTCCTTTGAAGCAAGATGAGTATGGATCTCTCCACTAAAATAAAACACTCTGTCTTTGGAGTAAGGCAGAAATGTATACAAAAGCAAAAAGATTACCTGCTGCCCCTGAAGCCTCTGCTGGAGCTGCATTCGGAGTTGCTTTGGTGTATTGGTTCGGGGTCTCATCACACTTGCTCTAGGATGCACGTTTGGGAGTGGAAAATTGCTCTGATGGCTTATCTGATTCATCATTGAATTAAAAGATGGCTGCTGTCCTTGCATATTACTAAAGCCTCCTGGCACTGCTGTCCCCTGTCCCTGATAAGGCTGGCCATATAATGGAGGCTTCTGATCAATCATAACTGCAGATTCCTGACCTTGAAATGTATCTTGCTTGGGTTCCAAAGTTTGCCCCTTTAACAGACAAGAAGAAGGCCAAGAAAAATGCTGTGATTTTAAATATTCTCACAAACAGGAAGTGCTGAAATAACTGTAAAATCAACACAGGCTGTGATCATCCTTGAAGACTGATGATCCTTGCTTGAACAAAGCAGTGTGCTTTTACTGGGCTACTAGCTTCCTTTTTTTTTCCCCCCCCGCAAGGCAAATAAGACTGATAGAAGTGACTTTTCACCTCAGCTGTTTTACAAGAGTTAAATACAATAATAGCAAAAAACTAATCAATCCTTAGAGTCTTGAAGTTTAGTTACACGCTGAAGAATTACTTTGTAAAAAGTAACTAAATTTTTTGTTAGTCTCCAATTTCAAGATCAAGTATGTTCATTTTGCAAGATCCCCCACCCTGATTTCATAGAATCATAGAAAATTAGGATTGGAAGGGACCTCGGGAAGTTGTCTAGTCCAACGCCCTTCTCAAAAGCAGGATCATCCCCAAGTAGATCATCCCAACCAAGGCTCTAGTCAGGTCTTAAAAACCTCCAGGGATGAAGAGTCCACAATTAATCAGGGTAGCCTGTTCCAGTGCTTTGCTGCCTTCCTAGTGAGAAAGATTTTCTTAAGTTTTTCATTTCCAGCCATACAAATTCAAGTTGGAAGTGGAAAGCCAGGCTATACTATTTTGGGCTTCTACATCATTGCTAGTAAAACTGCTATCTTGGTATACACGAGTCAGAAGAATCCAACTCACTGTCACCTTTCTTTTTTCATGTCCTTGTGACAAGGTACTTAGCAGAATACAGATTTATCAGAATCTGACATGCCATGCCACAAGTGCTTCTGCTATAGCTTGAACTAGCGACCTCCAGGCTGTCAACTGCGCGCCTTAGTGCCTGAACCACCCAGCCCTTCTCCTGTCACTATGCTAATAAAAGTAAAATAAAACTCAGCATTTGTAAACGTTGCAAGACAGAAGTGAGAATTAAATTTCTGATACATACATATGATGTCTTCTTACTTACGGCATTTTTATAAAAGTATATTTCAAGGGCTTTTCGTACCAAGCTTAAGGAATGCTCGCTAGTGATTTTCAGAGAGTAAGGTTCAAAGAGAGTAAGGTTCTAAAAGAGTAAAGTGGAGAGAAGGAAGGAAAGGAGGTGCCAGACCTTTATTCATTTTCATTCCACATGCCAAGATCATCAGGAAACTGCAAAACAAATGGCTAAACGGGTCTTGTTACTTACTTGATTTACAAGATCAGGAATTCCTAATGCTCTGTCTATTTCCTCCAGTCCTGTGACATCTGTGTTACTCAGCAGTGTGTGCAGCTGATCTAAAAGAGCCCTTTCATCATTCTGGCCTTCCACATTAGGAGGCGGACATAAGAGATCATCCAAAGAACTTCTCACCAATTGTCTACAATTAAAATATTTCAGCCATTAAGTACTTATAAAAACATCCACATGGTTTTCATATAAGACAGTTCAGGTAAAGATATTAAACTACTTGGTAGAAGTGAGGGTTATACCTATAGTACAGAAATTCTACATATGGTGTTAGAGCCGAGTCCTCTTGTGGATTTGGTCTGTAAGTAGGATTTTAAGTCTAATACGTAGATCCTCAAACTCGGATGCTCCCAAGCCACTAGTCATCTAAGTTAACAACATTAATGTTCCCCAAGCATCTTCAAATTTTACTTCTAGGGCTGGAACAAGTGCCTTAGGCCTAACAAGTGATGAGGTGCTCAGTAGGGTAGCTCATGGATTATCTACTTCGCTATCTCCCCTGACATGCTTGATCTGAGAAATGTTTACAGGGAAACTGGACTCCAAAACACAGTGGTAGCTGCTACTTTCTTTCAAAATACTGCCAGATCAGTAGGTGGTTGTGCCACCCTACTCCCAGCTTATGCAATAGTTCAGGGGTTAGAGCATCTACAGTGTGGGACACCTGGGTTATACTCCTTCCTCTGTCTGAGAAAGTTTAAATCTGTATCTCCCACTCCCATAGCCTGGAGAGGGTTCCAGCCTCCAAGCTATGCATTATACTGTAATGGAATCTCTCTCCAAGCTTCCCTCTTGAAATTGATGCATGGCACACAGACTATTTAAAAGATTCTTTTGACCAGAGACAAGAGTGGTAGTGGTTAAGGCAACCTCAATTCTAGTCCCTGATCCAAGGAATATTTTACATTAAGTAGCCAGTGGATAAGATGCATTAACTTAGATAGCTCCCAGTTCCAAATACCACCTTTTCTTAATTCCATTCTGAGGTACCTAATTCTTCTTGTATATTGTACAGGGCACCCAGCCACCTAATTCCATGACAGCAGGCCAGTACTCAAGTCTCTTTGTGTAGTGTTACAAGATAAATCAGCTAGAACAGTAGTTCTCAACCTTCTGGTCCCGCAAGTCAAACGAATGGTGCAACTCCAATTAATGCTGCTCCCCTACCACCAGATTTCTGAGCCTGCTGACAACATGGAGGGGCTACTTGTGGCATGGTAGCTGCTATAAAATACCACAGTGTTGCAACCTCCAAAGTAAGGTGAGTATAGTGCACCTCAAAATCCTAGCCCCCACTGCCTTGCATCTTGGCTGGAGAATGGCTAAGGTACATCACCCTGACAGAAACGTACCCTCACTGAAACATTAGGCAGTCAGCAGCAGTTCATATCTGTTGCTTTCTGGCAGAAGCTATAACCATCAAGGCACTGAATGACAGGACTCAGTCTGGCATTTGGATTCTGTCTCAATGGTCTAAAGTGGGGTGGTAAGTCTTGAGCAACTTCCACTCCTCCACACTCTTGCCTAGGGTTACGTGTTGAAGGTCTTGGTGTGATGGTCACAGGACTCTGTACAAGTGGATTCATCAAGCACTCTTACACGTACACTATGATCTAGAGGATCAACGGTTGCCTATTCAATTTTCATATCATACTGTTACACCTGTCATTTTCCAGAAATTTGTCTCCTGTTTTAAATGCGTTTAATTCTTAACACTGAAAACACGTTACAAACATTCAAGCAATGGACATATGAATGGAAAGGTGAAGCTTGAGGTATAAAACTTCCGAGAAAATTGCAGCTACATACAAACAAGCAAGCTGTGCATTTAAAACATGAGAACTGAGCAGACTGCACTGAAACAGGCATTTGAAAGCATGAGAAAATCTGCTAATGCTGAAGACAGACTCCGAGATAGTTCACAACATTTTAAAATACTAAAGTTTGACTTGTCAAAGGTTAACCCATTCATGTCTTTGGCCTCAGTTGATTTACATTCAGTATACAGTCAGAGCACCAGTCAAGTAGTGCCAGTATTCTGTGGAGGCACTGATCCACTGTTGATAGGTGGGTGGGTGTGCATATGTGCGAGTTAGTCCGACTCTTAGAGCACTAGCAGTACCGAAAGTCATCTCTTTCAGTGAATAATATTGCAGTTTTTAACCAGTTCTGGTGGGAATGAGGAGTTCCATTCAAACTGCTTATATTTCAGCTATTCTTAAACCTACCTGCTTTGTGAACCTCGAGATCCTTGCTCTATGGCTAACATGCTATCGGGCCACGATGCTGGCTGGCTAGATGGTCCTGGTTGTGCATAAGGATTCCCTCCCATACCCATATTAATCTCATTGGGCCCTGTAAAGCAAAATGTATAATGTTACTATGGTTTAAAAAACAAACATTTTTCCTAGAATGCTATATAAAGATTTAAGTGATCTTACAGATCATTACATGTTATGCTACTACTTTCAACGACTTTGTATGTGTACGTGTACAGTGTTTAAAATATTTAGATTTAGTTAAGACCATCAGAGTTTGAAGTAGGCACAGGTTAGGGATATAAGTGACCCAAATCTATTGGCTTCTGACCTTAACTTCTAGCTTCAACCCTTGAAATGAGTATGTAGTGTTTTATTCAATTTTACCCACTCACCTTTCCACACTACCCACAATTTTGCTTTCATTGGACTGAGCAATTTGATGGTCACACATCATTTAAATCTCTGCTCTAAATATTCTCTACCGTGTGGGTGGTGTTCGAAGCTCAGCCAAATTCAGTGTATTCTTATCTGTAAGAATTAATTGGCAATACAATCCAAGGAAGATGGGATGAGCTATTCTAATAAGGAAAGGATTTTGGAATTGTCCTTTCAACAACCAGAGCTATGGATGCCAAACAGATAGTCTGTGTAAATAAATATGCATGTCCAGGGAGCAGTCTAAATATTTTAGGAAAATATTAGACATACACCATTCATTCTGCTTTAGTCCTAATAGAGTAACCACCTCAGACTTTCCACTACTGTCACTCTAAGCAAAGCATAGTCAGTTTCAATGATCAGTCTAACCCAATTAGAGGTGTGCTGAGTGGAAAATACAATCAGTGTAAGATCCCTTGTATTGATCTTCAACAGCTATGAAAAAGTTCAGAGGTTTTCAATAGCAGTTTGGACATATCAACATTTAAAACAGTCTTTTTTTTTTTTTTTTTATAATGTGTATGTAGCTCAGTTTCTTCTATATGAACATGGGCATTAGAAAGAAAACTAGTACATAAAGTCCTTAAACCCATAACTAATCATAAAGCAGCTCCTGGAACTTTTCTAACAAAAACATGCTTCAAGAAGTGGGAATATGCAGAAGCCTCCACATAAAAAGAATGTGGCGATTCAGCATAGCTATGTAAATATAAATACACTATAATTTATTTTGCATAACAGGAAATATGACACCACCAACACATAAGCAATCAAAAAATAACCAAGGTTTTATGACTTGTCAGTATGCAACATGACATCCCTTGATTTTAAATTATTACAGTCTCCCCTACCCCTAATAATTTGGCTGGGTTAGGGGGACACAGGAGCACTGGTGGGAAATCATAATAGTGATTTCAGTTGTAATAGTGAATTATCCCACAGGTGAATTAACCAGAGATTACTGTAGTACTTGCCACAAAAGGTGGCCTTTAGGTACAAAAGATGGTGTGATACTGAAATTAGGGTTGCGTGCGTACACACATTCAAATAATCTGGAAGAATTCTCCCAGGTTTGTTCACATGGTAGAAAAACTTGCCTAACCCCACATGTACAGACATTTAAATGCTGAGACCCTTAAGGGTGGACAGCTTGTAGTATTGACACCACGCAGCCGGGGATGGAGAGGCCTGTGCAACACCTCAGTATACTCTGCAGACTCCCTTAATCTGCCTGGCAACAAATGGCAGCAGTGCATAGAACAACCTTGATTGGCTAACCCAGACTGCCTACAGTGGCATCAGCATGTACAGACATTTATTCTCCCAGGAGAAACTCTCCTAAACTTAATTTAACCCTGATTGTTCCCAGATATTTTTCTCCTGGAGCAGCCATTTTTAGTCAGGAAAAATCCTGAACTTCTGCATATTCATAATCTCCCCTGGGAGAGCAGCGACTCTCCCGGGAGAGACTGAGTGTCTGCATGAGTCCTAAAAGTATATTTCTTATGAATACTTGATCAAGAAGTCACCGAGAATTTAGTAAGTAGATTTATACAAAGGTAAAAAAAAAAACCCCCAAAAAACAACTTACTCATATGAATCATCTGCTGTTGTAGAATTGGTCTTGTACCAGGTATGCTATTAGATCGGATGGGCAAACCAGGCACAGAGCTACCAATTGTTGGTCTGGGAAGGGAAGTATTATAATCTGCTCCTGGTCTCATCATTGAACTGGAGCTTGTAGGTTCCAATCTGTTAACCTTTGAGTTTGGTAAGCCCCAGTCACCTGCTGGGTGTTGATTCATAGTCATACTTCTGTTGGGTGCACCTGGTACAATGAAGAGCATATAAATCAATTTCTCCTGGAGATCATGTGATGTATGCTTTGGTTTGGAACCATTTATATTGCCTCCTTACCCTAAAGGAACAACTTCCAGCAACAGGAGAGCAAATTACTACACTAAACCATTAAACCATTAAACCTCATTTCATTTTACAAGTTCATTAATCTAGTCACATTTATTAATACCAATTACTGACATTCTCTAACCTGGTCATGCCTCTTCAAATTAAAAAAACACCACCACATTTTAGTATTTCAAGAAAGAAAAAAACATTTGCATTTTTCAACTAAGACAAAATCCCAGGAGTACACTTGGATGGGCTATAGTTACAGCCTAAATAACTCAAATTATGGATTAACAAGTCACTTGGAAGTCATTTTAGTAACTCAGATGCTGACTGTAGAAGATTAACATGCCTCATTTCTATACTCCCAAGTTTTTATTTAAACTAATTTTAAAATCTCAAAGTATTTTAAAGTTAATCATTTCACAGTTACAATGAATCTTTTTGTATATAATCAACAAACCTATATTTGCTCCAAAATTTTCCTGGCTTTCAATCATTCTTGAATTCCCACCCATCATGTTTTGCTTTTGTAACATGGAGAATGCATTGACACTCCTCACTGGAGGGCTTGAACCCATAGGTATAGGGCTGTCTAATGACATGGCTCTGTTGAAAGGAGGACGGGTAGCCTGCATGGACTGGGGACTTCTCATACCTGTTAAAGAATTAAAAGATGCTCGGAACTGTACATCCTTAACTTAGAAATAAAATGTACCATTGATGATTTAAGAAAGTTGCATCTACTTATGGAGACATATATTGCACATTTAAACAAGCCACGAAAGTT